TAATTTTGATTTGATTTGATGTATAGGAGGTTTTCGGCAGAGGAGAGGCAGTGGCGTGCTGCTTGGCTGAGTGAAAAGGAGGCTTCTGTTGAGGATCAATTTCTCTCGCTTGGGTATCACCACCTGAGCGGCTTACTGGTACGCTTTGTAGAAAATCTTCACTCTCAGAATCCTTTTTTTCCCCTTTTTCTCTGATTTTGTTAGGGTTAGGTTTTCCTTCTTTTTCATATAATCTTTGCGCTATGCGGCTCACTGGAACGCGATACTGATTCAGGCATGGAATCTAACCTTGTGATAAAGGTTCGAATTTTTTGCCCTTCTTGTAAAAGTTTTTCTGAAGATTTGATCATATTTTTGTTTGCGACTTCGTGATTTAATCAATGATATTGGAGTGTTTGCTGATCTTTTTATTTTTTTATTTTTTTCATTTTAGCTGATTATTTATGTTTTATTTGTCGGTTTAGATCTTCAGGTATTTGATGAGCTAGAAAAGTATAAATATAAATCTTGTTTTAAGATAATTCTTAAATAAAAAATTGATAATTAATATTTGTAAATTAATAAGACGTGTGCTTTGGAAATTCACATTCTGCAGCTACGCTATTTGTTTCCCTTTTGATATTTGTACGTTACTGGAGTTCTATGTTTTTAATAAGGTAATAAATACTAATAAGATAAGAGGCCTTTAATGTCCATGGTGGTGAAGTTCCTAGAGGGCAAAATTGATGATGTAAACGACTGTGATTTCTTAAATCCACCAGGACCTACTGAAGTGGAAAACTCTCGGACACCAAATGGATGTAGCTGCAGTTACGGCTTCTCCACTGATTCCATCTATCTTATCTGGTCCAAGGAGATGATATGGGGGAAGATAAGACATAAAACACGTGCTGCAATGGTAATACTTCATTTCTTTTACTTTCTAGCTTCTGTTTTCTGTTTCAAAGCAGACAGTAGAATGCAAATTACTACTAAAATTCTTAGCTTGTGTTATAGTATCCTTGAATTCTTTGACTTATTTCTTATATCTAACTGTCGAATTAACCTATTTTCCTTCTGACAGAATGTATTTTGATGGTAATATTTTATATTTCAGAGCTTCTTGCAATGCCAAAATGAATTAGTTTTAACTGAAAATTTGTCTTTCACTTGTTTAATAAAAACGTTCTCATCACATTTTTTTATCTTACTCTTTTTCAGTGTTTACTCGAGCAAACTTCATTTCTTCCTTCCAAATGCTAAATAATTGAGAAAGACTTGACCACCCAATTAACAAATCTAGGAGTAGAGACTGACGCTGAAAGAAAAACCGATGGATAAGCTAATTTCTTTCCTTGTGTGTGTGGTTTTTTTGTTTTTTGTTTTTTTTTTTTTGGTCCATTACAAATTTGTTGTTTTAAATTGAACAGAAAGTAGTTGCAGCACTTATGTTTTAATTTCTGTATGTAATGTAATACTATTAGCTACTTCAACTTCAAACTGGTGTTGCACCTCTATTAATATCTAATCCTGCCAATTTATAATGCTTGTTGTCTAATTGGTTTTTGGAAAGAACTAGTTTTTAGTTGTGATTGGATTATATTATGCAAGGCCATTATGGAATTTAGAAAATGGAAATTACTAGAATTCTCAGCCGTGTGTGGATTGATAACTTTGAATTCATTTTTTGATTTATTAGCTCTGTTTAAATAATCTATCTTCTGTACCAAAAAAGAAAAAAAAAAAACCCTATCTTCGTTTCCTTAATAGGAATCAATACGGGTTCTTCATGTTTTTGTATGTTTACAGTGGTATGTGTTGCAGCTTGAGTTACAAAATTTTAGACCAATAATTCTCTTCTTTTATATTTACAATTAGGGTGTTATGATCTAAATTTTACATGCTATAAAATTTACATCATCCATTTTGAGAAATCACATTCGTTTACATCATCAGGTCCTGGTGGATTTGAGAAATCACATGCTAATGAAGGCAAGATTCCCTGACGAGAATATCACAGATATTCTACAAGCTGCCAACCAATTAGTTGCTGCCAATAGATTGGATAGAGAGGTAAACTTTTTTGTTGAACCATTTAATTACTTTGTGATGCTATTATTATTTTAGTTTTCAGTTTTCACTGCTTCTTAAGGAGTTCTCTGTATTCTTGCATATATATGGTTTGGTAGATGACAAATAGATTATTCATTGGGAGCTTTGCTGTGACAAATGTGGCCATCAGTAGAAAAAATCAATGGAAAAAAATTTTTGAGCTTATGTTTTGGGTTTTTTTTTAGCTATTTAGTCTTTTCTTAGTTTCTCATCTCTTCTACTTTGGTTTTTGGTGAGCTTATGTTTTTGTTCTTTTCAATCTTCATAGAAATCTATACTCATTGAATTTTATTTTTCAATAGGCATATGCGGCCCGTCAAGAGGTATTTAATACTCACTCATACCTCTTTGTTTGCGTTTCACTATTTTCGAAGTTTAATCTCTCAAATCTTTTTTATTTTTTTCATTTCTTTTGGTTGAATTTTTGGGATTTTAGTTATCTTTGAATTTCTTTCTACTAAAATGTCAGTTCCGGATGCTAATAGTGGGTAAGGTTTTTCCCCAAATAATCATTCCTCTTCACATTCAAGTCATCACCTTTTGTCTCGTCAAAATGAAAGTAATGAAGAAAATGATAGGCAAAGGGATTGAAACGCATGTTTGTATCTCTTCTTGGATCTGTAATTTCTGGCGATGAGCATTTAATTGAACTTCTTTGGATTCTGAAATTTCTTTTTTTGCCTAGATCTGCTGTTTTGAAATTGATTTATATTTATGGAATTCCTCTTTTATGATTGCTAATTTAGTGCATCAATTAACTAATTTTTTTAAAAAAAATTTATGGCTTTTTTATTGTGTTGAATAGTTTGATCTGCATAGACTAGCTTAGCTTGAGTGGTTGTGTGCTTTGGAGGGATTGATTTCGTGCAAATGGTTAAGAAATTTCAAAGTTGTGTTTTTTTCTTTCCTGTTTGTGTGCAAATGGTTAGGGATTGATTTGTGCTTTGGAGGGATTAATTCGTGCAAATGGTTGTGTGCTTTGGAGGGATTGATTCTGTAGCTCATAAAAATGGTATTAATAATAAGTGCAGGAAAAAATTATAAAATAAAAGTGAATTATCAATTTTTTTTTAAAAAAAATCTATACCAATGGAATTACCCATTTGTATAGGTAAATGTCTATACCCACGGCATAATCTTTTAAATTTTTAAGGGTCTATACCAACGGAATTATCCATCTGTAAAGGTCAAGGTTTATACTCATGGCAAAATCTCTTAAAATTGCTTAGGGTTTATACCAATGGACAAGTTTTCCATCAGAATAGAACCTAGGGTCTATACATACAGATTTGTCGTCAGTATGGGCCTTATACTGACGAGGTTTGCATCGATTGAAAATTCTTTCGTCGAAATAGTCCTTGGGGCCTATACAACGGATAAAGGGTGTATATAGACGGAAAAATTTCGTCAGTATAGGTCCATCTGCTTGTAGTGTTATCATTTTATTATATATTATTAAACTGTTTCATTAAAAATCTTGTTAAGTAAAGGAGAAAAAAGTGCAATGCATATGATGATACTCCTTCTCAAATTCAACAAATATTTTTAATTAGGCAGTTTAATGCTAATTTTGTGTCTCGATTTTTCAAAAACTTTAATAGGTAATGATTTTGTAAAGAGAATCACTTGAATAGATCTAATAAAAGATTATTTCATTTCTCATTAGAAATTTATGCATAGAAAATTACTTTAGTGAGATATACATTGATTCCAATAATTGATATTAAATTAATACTGGTCTCAAGTATCATAGGTGTGATTGTTTTAGTGTTTAGAAGGTAGCTAATTGTTGGTGGCTCCTAAATAGGGGTGGCAATTTCCCTTGGTCCCCGCAGGGATTCCCGCCACGAGGACGGGGTGGGGATGGGGGAGATTTTCTCCCCACGAAATTTCACGGGAAATTTTTCTTGTCTCGTGGGACCTCGCGGAGATCTCTGTCCCCACAAAAAAAAGGTTTATTTTAAATTTAATTTACTCTTCAAATTTAAACCCAAATCCAAACCAATTAAAATTAACTTATCTAATACTATTCAACCCAACCCAACCCAACCCAATCCATTTTAACCAAACCCAACCCAACTCATTCCCCTAAATTTAACCCTAACCCTAACTCTAATTCATTTCTCCATTCTAATCACTCTCTCTCACCTTCTCAGATCTCAGTTTTTGCCTCTGGTTTGTTGCTCACGAATCTGCTTTGTTGCTCATGAATCTGCTCTACTCTTCATGAACCCTTCTGCTCTGCTACTGCTCACGAATCTGCTTTGCTCGTTGCTGCTCATGAATCTGCTTTGCTCTTCTGCTGCTCACGAGTCCTTTTGCTCTGTTGCTGCTCATGATCTGCTCTTCATGAAACCCTTATGCTCGTTGCTACTCACGAATCTACTCTACTTTGCTGTTGCTCACGAATCTGCTCTGCTGTGCTCTTCTGTTGCTCACGAGTCCTTGTGCTCTGTTGCTGCTCACAATCTGCTCTTCATGAACCCTTCTGCTCTGCTTTGCTATTGCTCACGAATCTGCTCTGCTGTGCTCTGCTTTGCTACTGCTTACGAGTCCTTTTCTCTTCACGAACCCTTCTACGTTGCTGCTGTTGGCTGTTGCTCACGAATCCTTCTGCTTTACTGCTACCGAAAGCCATCTACTCTGTAAAAGATTTAGAATTTGATATTTGGTGGGGAATGGGGATCCCAGTGAGGAACGGGGACGGGGGCAAAATCTGCCTCCTGTCAAAAATCCTCGCGGGATCCCTGTCCCTGTGAATCGCGGGGACGGGGATGGGGATGGGGATGGGAAAGGGGAAGGGGTCCTCGGCCCCGCAGGGCCCCATTGCCATCTCTACTCCTAAACAACTATTTAAAGGTATTTTGGTAAGTTTTTTAATAAGATGTGAATCAATTAACAATTATTAAGAATCTAAACAGTCACAAAATAAACAATTACCAAAGTTAGTTGTTTGAGTTAAAACCCTACTTTAATTTTTTGGTTAAATCTTTAATTTGGTCCTTAAGCTATTGTACAAATCCCTGATTTGTTTCATAAATTAAAAAAATCCCTGATTTGGTCCATAAACTATTGTACGGAACTCTGATTTGATCTTTACTGTTTACCGATTTACCCCAAGTTGGTCATTCTGTACAAAAATCAACTGATGTGTTTTGTTATTAACGTGACACATAGTTATTAAGTTACTGTATTTCATCATTAAGTAATGGACACGTAAGCTATTTTTTGTACAGAATGACCAATTTGGGACAAATTGGTCAACAATAGAGACCAATTTGAAGGTTCGTACAATAGTTTAAGGATCAAATTGAGGGGTTTAACCTAATTTTTTTATCCTCTTTTATTTGTCCTAGTATAACCCTAACAATATTTTCTAAAATCTTTGCAAGAACCTTGCGCAACAAATCTACCCACCATTCCAAATTTTAGAAAAAAATTGTGGAGAAAGAGGAGGAAGATGAGAGGTGAGATTCAAAGGAAACAATAAAGCATTGAATGCTTTGGGAATTAGTGATGGTGACTTGTGATTGACGTCAAACGAATCAACAAAGACCAATGTACTTCTTCAGTAACGAGAAGCAATTGTGAGGGAGAGAGAGGACAATGAGGATCGAGGAGGGGAAATTGAAGGATAAGGAACAGATCTATTAGAGGTAAAAATGGAAAATTAAATATAATCCACACTTATTCTCATGGGGGAGGTGGGATACAATTCACGTAGTTCACTTAAAATAGGATATTAGATGGGATAAAACATCATCTCATCCCTCGACTGTCCCAAACGTTGGTTATGGTAAAGATTGGACATAAAATTTATCCAATGATCCGGTGACATATGACACTTCAAATGTATTATTAAGGTATAAGTTAGAAAAATTTATTATTTATTATTTTTTGTTATTATTATAAAAATAAGAAAAAAAAAAAGAAAACTTATTTAACAAACTTAAAATATATCTTTAATAGTAATTTAACTTTAATAAAAACAATTATTAGCTTTATTTCTAAACATTAATTATAAATAGTAACAATTATCAATTATTAGTTATCGACTATTAGTTATCATCTATTATATAAATTTAAACTACTAATCCAAACCCTATGTTCCTTGCTAAAAATATAAAAAATGTGAGTTGAATTTTTGTGACGTTAAGTTAATATTTTTATCTTAGATTTTATTTATTAAAAATAAACAACATGAATTGCTAACAGTGAAGAGTGGCGCAAGTGGCCTAGTGGGAATGAGTATCTTATTTGCTTCTAGAGGTTCAGCATTCAAATGTTTGTATTGCTTTGTTTATTTTAATTCTTATTTTCATTTATTTATTTTTCTAAAACTTAAATAGAACAATCCTAGTCTAAATTGAACTAGGCTCAAGTAAAGACTGAGACCGACTTGTATGAGCCAGTCTTGGTCAACCAATTTCCAAACCAAAATTGGTCTGTTCCAGCCCCGACCCACCTGAAACCGCTGGATAACATTAACACCAATACTTTTTTAGTGTTACTTAGGCTTCCTTTGATGCTTCTAGATCTTTTAATTTTTAATTTTTACGTCTTTTAGTTTCTAATTTTTATTTGTTTAATATTTTAAAAATATATAAAATATTAATTTTAATAAATATAAAATATATTAAATATAAGATGTTAATGAATAAAAAAATT